TGAGGCTCTGAGAGGTTCTCAAAAGTAATCCCTTCCGACATGTCGAGGGTCAGTTTGAGGATGCCACTTTGGACCAAAGCCAATGCCTTCCCATGTTCCAGAAACGAGACCTTGGGACCATGTGATGCGATTCAGAGGGGAAATGGGCAAAGTAATTCAACTTTCAAAAACTGAAAAGCAACCTGACTCTGTTTGTGATGCCAAATAGTTGCATGGAACCTACCCATGTGGCAGGGTCTCTTGGGCACGTTATAAACCACTCTGCTGCAAGAAAACGCCCTTGTTTTGCCACTGACTCGTTTGGCAGAAATATAATTGGATTCCTTTTTGGGTTGATCATAGTGAGGGAACCCAACAAAGAACGGACCTTAAGGATGCCACAACGCCCCGCCCGCCTCACTGCCACCGAAGGTGCCCACACCTGACAACACTTGCAACCTGGTCGATGCATTCACTGTTGGACTGGAATTTAATGGTGCTTAGGAAAAAAACAGGGCCCTTAACTCATTCTCCATTTTCTTCGCTCTCTTTTCGGAAATAAATGACTGTTCTGAAACACCTTCTTGGAAGGGGTTCGAGAACTTTTGTGGTGGGTTGGCGGCCCACCCCGGATCTTTGCGCCAAAGCTTCAGCAGGCATTTATATTCGATGGAGTCCGGCCGCTCACTCACATGCTTGACGCCGGCTTTCCGGACAGTCTACATCACTCGGGGCGCCTTTGTCCCCAGTCAACACGCCGCAGGACCTTGCGCGAATTGCGATCGAACATACTCGAAGGGCAATTGTGCGATCGTCCAGCGGAAACAGGTGGAGAAGCAAAACGAAAGACGGGCAGGCTCAGACACTCATTCAATCAAACACACAAAAACACCCACACAAACGCATACAACAAGGAGATGTGTTCACAAGCGCGAAAACACACAAACACACACACACACAAACGAGCGAGCGAGCAAGCGAGCAAGCAAGCAAGCAAGCAAGCCAGCAAACAAACACACACACACACACACACACACACACACACACACACACACACACACACACACACACACACACACACACACGCAGAATCATACACACACAATCACCCACACACACAATCACCCACACACACACACACCACACATACACACAAACACACGCACACAATCGCACACACACAGTCATAGACAGAGAGACGGACAGACAAACGGACAGGCAAGCAGACAGGCAGACAGACAAACAAAGACACACACACACACACAAATAAACACAAACACACAAACACCAAACACACAAACCCACACACACACACACACACACGCACGCCTTCCCTTGCCTGGGAAAGGTTTTGTGCTGGTCCCCACTTCCCATGAACCCAACTTGTCCTCAGATTGGATGACGGGTCCCCCAGCTGAAGAAAGCACCACTTGGTCCCTCAATTCGACCCATCTCGCCAATGCTCTGGTGGCCTCTCGGCTGGACCACCCTGATCTCTGAAAAGCCGAGCCAAGCACTGGCCATTCTCAATGCAGCCGAGATAGTCATACAAGTCCTCTCTCGGCATGGCGACTTGAACTTGGAAAATTATGGTGGACATTATACAATAGCATCCCATGCAAGGGTAACATCAAAAACAATCGGCATCCACATGCATCCACACACAAGGGCTGTCCAACTGCAACCTGGACAACAGATTGTGGCCGGTCCTCGTCCGTCTTCAAAGACCCAAACCTGGATAAGACTGCCCCCCCGAGAGCTTGGTTCGAGCATCACGTTCAAGAGTGTCAATGCTGGACGCATGCAGCAAACTTTGCATCATGTGATGCAGGACCACCCGGCATAAGACAAAGTCACAGAATTTCACAAATGCATCAAGCTGACATCCTCTCGAGACTGATGCAAGCTGTGGGAATACGCAATCTGCAGTGCGGTGCACTTGCCAGGCAGACTCTGGCCGTGCTTCCAAACGGTTTCGAGCCTCAGGACGGCATACATTCAAAAAACATCCGTGCATTTGCCCACGGGCATCTCCCAAGACACGTCGCGCGCTTGAATGTGAAGTGCCAAGCTCAGACTATGGTGGTTGCCCATTGATCAGCCAAGCTGCATCCAAGACCAGAAACATTGCCTCAGGCGCAGAAAGGCCCATCAAACTGGAAGCTCTGCACATCACGCTACCAATGATCAATCCAAAATGCAAGGCATCTATCGATCACTGGTCGTCTCCTTGATTCCCGTATAGCTTCCAAGGGACTAAGGAAACACCTGGAAACCGGCCATGCAACACATGATTATCTCAACAATTGACTGCGATTGCTCGACCGGCCCATCTCAGAACTCAGCCTTCAAGTGTTGGCGTCTGCGCATCACTCAGTCAACACATGCCCCGACACACACACACACACACACCCACACACACACCCACACACACCCACACACACACCCACACACACCCACACACACCCACACACACCCACACACACCCACACACACCCACACACACCCACACACACCCACACACACCCACACACACCCACACACACCAACACACACCCACACACACCCACACACACCCACACACACCCACACACACCCACACACACCCACACACACCCACACACACCCACACACACCCACACACACCCACACACACCCACACACACCCACACACACCCACACACACCCACACACACCCACACACACCCACACACACCCACACACACCCACACACACCCACACACACCCACACACACCCACACACACCCACACACACCCACACACACCCACACACACACACACACCCACACACACCCACACACACCCACACACACCCACACACACCCACACACACCCACACACACCCACACACACCCACACACACCCACACACACCACACACACCACACACACCCACACACACCACACACACCCACACACACCCACACACACCCACACACACCCACACACACCCACACACACCCACACACACCCACACACACCCACACACACCCACACACACCCACACACACCCACACACACCCACACACACCCACACTCACCCACACACACCACACACACACCACACACACACCCACGCACGCACGCACGCACGCACGCACGCACGCACCCACACACACACACATGCGTGGTGTAAATGCCTCGGTTTAATACGTCCCAAGTCAAGAGCTGATGAACATCAGATGTTTGTTTCCCCTGGCAAGTCACTGTCACCTTTGTTCAGTATGGGTCATGCTGGATCGCTGGAAGTAAAGTCCCCTCATCGATCGTCTCTAGCCATTCAAACGAACAGCCAAGGCTGGTCGAATCAGGAAAGTTTCTACTCCAAGTCTGGCATGCCACAGATGAGTGCCTCCACCAACCAAAGAAGACCCCTAGTGATTGTTTCCCCTAAGGAGCAGCTCAAATTCGGGCCCCCCAAAAGGGCTGGATTCAGAGTGCACACGAGAGCTGATGAACTCCAGGCTGCCCTGGGGCCCCCTGCGCAGATCAAGGCCGAGGAGGTGCTCATACCTGAGCCGAGGCGCTTGCCGCAGGGCCCAAGTCGAGAGAAAAAAATCCACCCGAGCTGAAATTGGAGCTGAAAGGATGGTTCATCGCTTTTACTACCCCAGTTCGCACAGCACCAATCTTCGAGAAGTGCTTTTTTCGTTCTGCAGGGGTCTTTTCTTGGATGTGCCTCTTTTGCCGGGAGAGGGGGGGAAGAAATCAAAGGGACAACATGTTAACGTGCACCTTTCTGCCGGCGGTTTCAAGGAAAACACGCTTTTCTCATTTGAGGCGCAGCCCCATATCCGCTCTTCTTGGTTGGCTTGGTCGGACAATGTCTGAATGTGTTGTTTGCCACGTAAAGCGCCTCCCCACAAATACGTCAAGTCCGGAACCTCATGGGGCTATGTTCTCTGAGGCTCGCTACCCTTCTCACCTTGGTTTACAGGGCGACAAGGAAAACAGCAGGTGTCAAAGTGTGCAAATCCCTATTTTGACATGTACCCTGGAGCCAAGCCCACCCACAACCAAAACCAAAAACCTTGGTTTGGCCCCGTACGAAAGGGCGTAGACATCCCAACTTCGAGCTGCCCCCTCCGAATCCGAGGTGCCGGAGGCCGGCGGCAAGTCGCAGCCGATAGCCACCTCGTGCAGCTTCTTGAAGCGGGGCTGGTTGGGTTCGAACATGTGGGTTGCAGGGCGCACACACACACACACACACATGCAGCACCTTAGGTTGAAAATGATTGTTTCCAGCAAAAATATAATTTTGGCATAGTGGTGTTGATTCATTCCGTTGGTGCAAGCCGGACCCGTTTAGTTGAAGCCCGTTTAGGGTGCCCTCCAAGCCAAGTAATTTCCAAGCACTACGTAGTGGTTCAAGCATGTTTACACACACATTTGAATCGTCCCGGCCGGGACAGACCTGATCGTCACAAGCGTCGTGGCCCCGCAACACAACAAGACCCAAACCAATTTCGCACCCTTGTGGGTTGGTTATTGTTTGCCATGTTTTGCCTATTCACCTTGCCGCCTGACAAGGTAAACACGCGGCTTTGAGCCATCAAAAAAGCTCCACTGTACAACCAAAATAAAAAAACAAGTCACGATGTAAGATATTCGCCCCTTGTGATGCTCCCAGCATGGCCTCGGCCCCTTTCGGAAAATGACCTTCCTTTCAGCAATGCCTCCCGCGCAGGGTTGCGGGAGTTGCGATACCACTGGAAGCCATTCCCAGTGCCTCATTCTTCACTTGAAGGGGGAGGGTCTCTGGAATCTGTAGGTGCGCCTTGCAGGATTTAACATGCTTAAACCACCACTGCTTAAAGTTTAATGCAAACTTCTTGTTGGAAACACATTTTGCTGAACTGAATCATGCACAATGCTTGGCGTTCTTGAATGAGCGGGAGCCACACAAATGGGTCCAATCCCCTTGTAAAGCAACCCGATACACGCTCCAAAAAAGCACAAGTGTTCTCAATGGCCGACAAAATGCAGCTTGACCATCACGTATTTCTCTCACAAACACAAGCAAACACACACACACACAAAAGCAAACAACACACACACACACGCAGCACGCACACACACAGACCCACAGACACACAGACACACAGACACACAGCACGCACAGACACACAGACGCACAGACACACAGACACACAGACACACAGACACACAGACACACAGACACACAGACATACAGACACACAGACACACAGACACACAGACACACAGACACACAGACACACAGACACACACACACAGACACACACACACAGACACACACACACAGACACACAGACACACAGACACACAGACACACAGACACACAGACACAGACACACAGACGCACAGACGCAAAGACGCACAGACGCACAGACGGACACCCAGACGCACAGAGGCGCACCGAGGCGCACCGAGGCGCACCGAGGCGCACCGAGGCGCACCGAGGCGCACCGACGCGAACAGACGCGCACAGACGCGCACAGACGCGCACAGACGCGCACAGACGCGTACAGACGCGCACAGACGCACACAGACGCACACAGACGCACACAGACGCACACAGACGCACACATGACACACACACACACACAGACACACACACACACAGACACACACACACAGAGACACACACACAGAGACACACACACACACAGAGACACACACACACACAGAGACACACACCGAGACACACACAGAGACACACACAGAGACACATACAGAGACACATACAGAGACACACACAGAGACACACACAGAGAAACACACAGCAGACACACACAGCAGACACACACAGCAGACACACGCAGAGACACACACAGAGACTCACACAGAGACGCACACAGAGACACACGCAGAGACACACACACAGAGACACGCGCAGAGACACGCACAGAGACACGCACAGAGACACACACAGAGACTCACACAGAGACGCACACAGAGACACACGCAGAGACACACACACAGAGACACGCGCAGAGACACGCACAGAGACACGCACAGAGACACACACACAGAGAGACACACAGAGAGACACAGAGAGAGACACAGAGAGAGACACAGAGAGAGACACAGAGAGAAACACAGAGAGAGACACAGAGACAGACACAGAGAGAGACACAGAGGGAGACACAGAGAGAGACACAGAGAGAGAGACAGAGAGAGACACAGAGAGAGACACAGAGAGAGACACAGAGAGAGAGAAAGACACAGAGAGAGACACACAGAGAGAGACACAGAGAGAGACACAGAGAGAGACACAGAGAGGGACACAGAGAGAGACAGACAGAGACACACAGAGAGACACACAGATAAACACACAGAGAGACACACAGATAAACACACAGAGAGACACACAGAGAGACACACACAGACACACACACACACACAGAAAGAAACACACAGAGAAACACACGGAGACACACAGAAAGACACACAAGTAGACACACAGAGAGACACACAGAGAGACACACAGAGAGACACACAGAGAGACACACAGAGACACACAGAGACACACAGAGACGCAGAGAGACACAGAGACACACAGAGACGCAGAGAAACACAGAGAGACACACAGAGACGCAGAGACCCAGAGACCCAGAGACACAGAGACACAGACAGACACACAGACACACAGACACACAGACACACAGACACACAGACACACAGACACACGAACACACAAAGACACACAGAAACACAACCACACACACACGTACACAACACACACACACACCCGCAAACGCAACCGCAAAAGTAACCACACAAATACACCCACACAAACACAACCACACACAAAACACACACAACCGCAAACGCAACCACAAAAGCAACCACACAAATACACCCACACAAACACAACCACACACACAACACACACAACCGCAAACGCAACCACAAAAGCAACCACACAAACACACACACACAAACACAACCACACACACAAAACACACAACCGAACGCAACCACAAAAGCAACCACACAAATACACCCACACAAACACAACCACACACACAACACACAACCGCAAACGCAACCACAAAAGCAACCACACAAATACACCCACACAAACACAACCACACACACAACACACACAACCGCAAACGCAACCACAAAAGCAACCACACAAATACACCCACACAAACACACACACAACACACACACAACCGCAAACGCAACCACAAAAGAAACCACACAAATACACACACACACAAACACACACACAACACACAACCGCAAACGCAACCACAAAAGCAACCACACAGATACACCCACACAAACACACACCACATACACAACACACAACCGCAAACGCAACCACAAAAGTAACCACACAAATACACCCACACAAACACAACACACACACACACACACACAACCGCAAACGCAACCACAAAAGCAACCACACAAATACCACACCACACACACACACACACACACACAACACAACAAACGCAACCACAAAAGCAACCACACAAATACACCCACACAAACACACACACACACAACACACAACCGCAAACGCAACCACAAAAGCAACCACACAAATACACCCACACAAACACAACCACACACACAACACACACAACCGCAAACGCAACCACAAAAGCAACCACACAAACACACACACACAAACACAACCACAAACGCAACCACAAAAGCAACCACACAAATACACCCACACAAACACACACACACACAACACACAACCGCAAACGCAACCACAAAAGAAACCACACAAATACACCCACACAAACACAACACACACACAACACACAACCGCAAACGCAACCACAAAAGCAACCACACAAATACACCCACACAAACACACACACACAACACACAACCGCAAACGCAACCACAAAAGCAACCACACAAATACACCCACACAAACACACACACACACACACACAACACACAACCGCAAACGCAACCACAAAAGAAACCACACAAATACACCCACACAAACACACACACACACACAACACACAACCGCAAACGCAACCACAAAAGCAACCACACAAATACACCCACACAAACACACACACACACAACACACAACCGCAAACGCAACCACAAAAGCAACCACACAAATACGCCCCCCAAACACACACACACAACACACAACCGCAAACGCAACCACAAAAGAAACCACACAAATACACCCACACAACACACACACACACACACAACACACAACCGCAAACGCAACCACAAAAGCAACCACACAAATACACCCACACAAACACACACACACACACAACACACAACAAACGCAAACAAAAGCAACCACAAAAGCAACCACACAAATACACCCACACAAACACACACACACACACAACACACAACCGCAAACGCAACCACAAAAGCAACCACACAAATACACCCACACAAACACACACACACACACACACACACACACACACACACACACAACACACACAACCGCAAACGCAACCACAAAAGCAACCACACAAATACACCCACACAAACACAACCACACGCACACACAACACACGCACACACACACACACACCAACACACACACACAACACACAACACACAACACACAACACACAACACACAACACACAACACACAACACACAACACACAACACACAACTGCAAACGCAACCACCCAAATACACACACACAAACACAACCACACACACACAAACTAACGGGAAAGGACAAAAACCCGACGAACAAAAACTGACGAACAAAAACACAAGCAAGCAAGCAAGCAAACAAGTTCCGGGCATCGCAGCCATGCAGCTTCCCGAAGTTCTGCGCGAGGCGCCGAGCCGCCTCGGAACGCGGAACGCGGAACGGGCGCGGTTCTCGGGTCCGGCACGCTCCAGGGGTCCCTGCAGGGGTCCCCCACGTTTCACTGGTGATCAAACAGGGTTCCCCTTAAATATGTTGAAATTTCAATTTGTTAAACAATATATATATATTATAGATATAGAATATACTATTATATTATATTATATGATATATCCTCAAGGAGGGCAAGTGCCTTGGTGGTCAAATTCATCTGCCTAACAACCGCGAAAGCAACTAATGCCCCCCTGGTCCCCACTGTCCCACCCGCCTATGAAATCTCAATGGTTGATCCACCCTCAAACCTGCTTGGACATAAATCCCAATGTTGATGATGCCCCGCAGGGGCCACCAAATTAAGATTCATATCGAGTGAGCGTTTCGGGGGGGGGGGGAGGTAGCAAGTCCTACCTATTGTCTCCGCTGGATGACCTCCACACATCATGCAGCAAATGTGCTTGTCGAGATCTGTCACCAGTTCTGATTCCCTGATTTGAGTATTGGCCAGTTGGCCGGAAATCACACACGTCCGGACTCCTGCTTTAAGCTAGAAGCATCAAAGCGTTGATATCCAAACTCATATGTTCATTTCCTGGCCATGGCAAACCAGTCACATCGAAACACGTAAAATGCAAACTGACCCACGCTCCACGCCACAAAGGATGCCTGTCCGGCAATGACGCTCACGGGCTTGCCCGCAAAGCTGCAACCCAGCAAGGTCAAAGCCGAGGACCAAAAACGGACACTCAAACACCAACATCTAATCACTTGTTTCAATCAACCAAGAACCCCAAGTCACAGACCTCGCACAGGCGAACAAGCTATAATTTCCCCTGAATACCACCAACCAAACAGCGACTACAGTGCCTTCGAGGGTAGTTCCAGAGTTCACCACTTCGAGAAGAATGGAATCATACATCGACCCCTGGAAAATCACCTTCATGTACATTTGGTCAATCAAATCTCCTAGCCAGGTTGCCCCTTCCTTGGCCCAGAGACATGGTTGGTCACGATATCCCCTAAAAGGTCCCAAACAAATTCGAACTCAGCAAGCGTGCAACCCCTTCCATTGGAACGTATTCCGAAGGGGGCCCCGGGCTGAGGCGATGTACACGGACCAGTGGTTGGCTGGCACCTGGATCGATCCTCGCTCATTCTTAGGATCCTTGAAGAGCCAAAATACCCAGCGAGACAGGGCAAAATACGCGTGAAGTGTTTAAAGATCCATTGGTATGAAAGGAAACTTGGTCAGAGAACCATTGGAAAGAATGGGGAACCGGCCCCACGGAGCTGTTGGGGGGGGGGGGGAATCCTGCAGCCACATGGCAGGGTTGCAAAAGACGCTTCTTTGGACCCATAGCGCCTTCTGGTCCTTTGAGGGTCGACCCATAGCCACAGAACATCATCCTTTGTCCGCCAAGAGGTTGATCCCCATCCGCTGTCCCCATTGTTCTTTCGGAAACCACGAAGATTCCCCAGGAATTTGGGCATTGTGCGACAAGAAGGATCCCTTGAGCAACTGGCGGGGAACAACAAACATCTTGCGATCTCACCGATCTCCCAACCAAAAACCTTCTGGCTGGGCGCGGCTTTGCCCCACGCTTCGCGCCAAAAGCAAACGCCTGTTGGGTCGGGTGCGGCTTCGGCTCGTTTCAGGATCTCCATACCTTCCCCTCTCCCGTGCCGGCCTCGGTGTTGGGATCCAAAGGCACCTATGGACGGGACTCAAGCACACGGCATGCTCTGGCAATGCGCATCCATCCTATTATCCTTGGCAATGTGGCGGCACCAACACTAGTGCAGGCAATGCGTCCCTTGCATTTGGGAAGAAACTGGTTTTCCTTTCCAGAAGGGGGACAAAGTAGAAACCGACCAAAAGGCGTGCTTCCAAGAACAACAACGACTCCATTCCGCACTCCAAATACACGCTGTGGTCAGGGTGTGATGCCATTGACTGAGTCACAGGAGGTAGGCATTTGCAATTGAACACCATATTTGTTCCTGGCACACTTTAGACAAACACGGGTGTCTAGAGCAGGGCTTGGCCTTGATTCGGGCTTCCCCTTTAAGCGCCATGCTGAGCATACACCAGCCGGGTCCCCCTTCTGGAACTTCAAGCTCACCTCAGCTTGTGCCGAATGCTACCTGGGTGTGATTTTTGAGGCACCCGGTTCAGGTTGGATGTAAGGAAAACCAACAGCAAAACCGAAATCCATTTTGGGATCGCCCCATGTTACAGTCCTAATCCGGAATCCGTAGCGGAACACCACGACACAGGAAGTCACTACCATCCAGGACGAAGGATTGATTTTGCGCCCTGCAGTCGCCGGTTTGTGTGTACATGAAAGACCGCCACAAAATGGTTGGTTTTGCGATGTCCTCTCAAAACTACCCAACACAATTGCCCCAAAGAAAAGACCTGTTAATGCGGCTGCACGATGTGGCATGCGATTCAGTCCTGAGGCCCCCCAGGCCTGACAAACCTGTCACACCTCGCAATTTGGCTATAGTTGGCAAAATCCCAAATAGTTGATGACTATCTCGACTGTATAGAGGCCATGGCTCGTTCTGAGCTCCAAAAATCGGAAACCCTGATAGTCACACTTACAGGGAAACCCAAAGTAAACCAACGAATTATGGGGTCCCAATTTTTCAGGTGACTCTGAATGATTTAATTCACAACCGAAAATGGGATCGTTATACCAGGAACCTTCAAAAGCATGGCTTGCCTCTGGTGCGACCGAAATCACCAATGACTTTGAACCATTTGGATTCTCCCCCACTAACCAGCAACAAGTGTGCAATCCGTTCCATCGGGCTTCAACATGCCCAGAACCATTTCCAGCAACCTCCAACGACTGATTTTTTCCCATGATCCAGACACCCATTCCTGTGCTGGAGCACGGGAACCAATGCAGCCCACTAACGCCGGAGCAAATGCCCCACTCCATGGGCTGCGACTCAAGCGCTTAGTCACTAAGAGACTAAGTTCCTGAGCTGCAGCCCGTGGAGTGGGGCATTCGCTCCCATGTGTCACACATGCCCACTCGAGCCAAGACCCACGCTACTCGCAGCTGCCGGTCCTCCCGCTCCACAGACAGCACACAGAAGCCCCGACTCAGCGCGACCCGAAGTTCTCAAAGCGGCGCGTCGCAAAGTGGCTCAGAGTTGCTTCAAACCAGAAAAAAAAGCAAAACCTTTTGCAGAGTAACATGGAACCCAAAAATTATCATTGCAGAGGAATATCCTTTTTGGACTCCCCATGTTGCGTTTCATCTTTGTTTTGCATGGGTGGTTTGTGTGTGTGTGTGTGTTCGTTCTTGTGCGTGTGCTTGTTCCTTGCTTGTTTGCTTGTTTATTGGTTTTTTTGTTTGCTTATTTGTTTACTCGATTGTTTGCTTGCTGCTTGTTTGTGTGCTTAAACTGTTTGTTTGTTTGTGTGTGTGTTTGTGTTGCGTTGTGCTGTGCTGTCCTGTACTATGCTGGGCTGTGCTGTGTTGTGTTGTGCTGGTTCGTGTTGTGTTGTGCTGGTTCGTGTTGTGTTGTGCTGGTTCGTGTTGTGTTGTGTTGTGTTGTGGTGTTGTTCTTGTTTGCTTGCTTGCTTGCTTGTTCGTCCATGCGTTTGCTTCTTTGCTCGTTTGTTCGTTTGTTTGCTTGCTTGTTTGTTTGTTGGTGTATGTGTTTCTTTGTTTGTTTTTTGTTTGTTTTATTGGTTTTGTTTTGTTGTGTTCGTGTCTGTGTGTTGTGGTTTGTTGTGTTAATGGTGTGTCATTTTATGTTTATGTTTGCTTGCTTGCTTGCTTGTTTGTGTATGTGTTTGTGTGTTTGTGTGTTTGCTCGTTTGTTCGCTTGTTTGTTTGCTTGTTTATTTGGTTGTTGCTTGATTATGTGTTATCTTGCTTGTTTTCTCGTTTTCTTGTTTATTTGTTTATTTGTTTATATATTGAGTTGTTTATTTGTTTGCTTGCCTGCTTGTTTGTTTGTGTGTGCGTGCGTGTTTAAATTGTTTGCTTGTTTGTTTGTGTTGTGTTCGTGTGTGTCGTGTTGTGTTGTGTTGTGCTGTGCTGTGCTGTGTTGTGTTGTGGTGCGAGCGGTTTGTCGTGTTGTCTTGTTGCTCTCTTTCTTTTTGGCGGGTTTGCTTGTTTCTTTGCTTTCTTGCTTGCTTGCGTGTGCGTGTTTGTTGGATGTTTTGTTTGTTTGTGCGCTTGTTCGCCTGTGTGTTTTGAGGGTAGGACTTTGGCCCTGAGGCTCAGGGGGGGATCGGTTCAAAAGGGAATGGGAAATTTCCCTGGCCCCAGTCCAGTGATCCTGGAAGAAAAATAGGTGTCTCTCTAGTTGAGGCAACCCAAAGTGAAAAGTTGCCCTTTGAAATGAGTTGTTTGCCTCCCCAAACAGGGAACCTTCACCTTGTGGCTATTACCCCCAGCTGAAAAAGTGTCTCGTCCTGCAGGCACTCGTCCGACTGGAAATCCCTTGACTCGGACAACAAGTTCTCAGGCCATGGCTTTACAGCGCAAATGCAGGACCGGCCGCCCGCATAGTCCGTATGCTTGCCGGCCACCTGCGTTCGAGTGGGAAAAACAAATCCACCACGCAAACCAAAAAAACAAATCGAGGCCTCAATGGTTCCCATCGTAAAGGTTTGGATGTAGAACCGTGGTCAACAAAACCCGAACTTCGGGAGTCGAACAACCTCTGCTGGCCAGTAAGCTGGCCCTGAAAAACGAAGCTGACTGCTCATGAGAGACCCTTTTCTGAGATGCCAACACTGGAACAAGCACATCAAAGCATGTCGATTCTCCTGATTCAACAAGGAGATAAACATTTGGGTGCCCCTGATCTTGATGCTCAGGCCGCTTGTGCAACTCTTGTAATTAGGTCCAGGAAATGTTGCCATCGCCTCGATCCTCCCTGGGACCCAAAAGAGCCGGCACAGCCTCGGCGGGAGGCTTTGAGGCATGGTACATGTCTGTGTGGTATGCCCAAAGCAAGAGAATGTGCCAGCATACATGGGCGAGTACATGTCAACCTCTAGCAGCTTTGACCTGTTGGCCTTGTTACCTGCTTTGCCACTGGGTGGTTTAACGCTTTTAGTTTTATCCTTTAAGCCCCTTTTGGATCCTTTTGGCCCTTTAACTATGTGCATCCTTTTCAGGAGATTGCCCACAGATTGACTCTTGCTGTATCCGGGGAAAAACCTGTCATGCAACTTTCGCTTTCAAAGGTGCTTTGAAGTTCTTGAAGTTCTTGCAGACAAACCAAGACTAATTGCATCGCACATGACCATCACAATCAAATTCTGGCACGAAAGGGGTCGACCCGATGTTTAGAACGACTAGAAGGAATTGTTGAACCTATTTCTGCCTGGGATTCGTCCTTTGTGTCCGAGTCTAAGAGGACTATCTAAGATGGCTTCCAGTAGTCCCCAAACCACTAACCCGATGTAAAGGGACACAAAAACACTACCGTGGTTTCCCTGGGTGTGTGCAAATCTGATACCTCTAGCCACACTGAACACAAGGGACACGGCCTTGTAGATGTGAGCAATCCGCAATAGTTTTCGGGTCCAGGTTACGAATTTCAGTTGGGCAGGTGTCACAAGTGGCTCTGCTTGCAACTTAATGCTGAAGTCTGTGCCGCCCCGGCGCGTCAGGCTTTGCCTGCAAGTCGTCTTGCAGACGCTGCGCCGCCTCGCCGATCTGAATTAGATTTGGGTGTGCTTTGCCAGGGTACCCTTTTCAGGGCTATGCCAAGGGAACCCAAAGGAGCATCACCCGTGTTCCGCAGGGTTATATGCAATGCCTATGTTGAGACAAACTGTCCCAACAAGTGCGGAAGGGCAACGGCTCTGTTTGGTTCGAGGAGGATGAACAGCAGCCCGGCCATCTAGGAATGCCACCGGTTTGGCCCTTTGAATCAGTATCACAGCTGCCTCCCGCCTCCGCTACCAGGTGGACCTTGTCTTTCAAGTGACGAGGCAAAAGACCTGCAGGAGACTACCGCGGCCCTTGAGCTGTGATGTTGAAGCAGCGTTCATAAACCCTTCATCGATTCTTGGGGGATGTTGCATTTCGGAAAATAATCCTTCGCTGTTTGGCCCCCTACGGGTATGAATCCGCAAGGCATGTTGATCCGGGAATCTGGGTCAACAGCAAACCCGCAACAAATTTCAGGGGAAACACCCATTCTTTCAAGAGATCCTTCATTCCAAAAAACCCACCCAAACCCGTGGCACAGTTTGAAGTGAATGATGGCCGGGAAGCACCGACAGACTACAAACGGTCTCTGATCCATGCATCACACATTTTTTCTCCAGAGCGCATGAGGCTCATCAAGAGTTATTGATTCCTCAAGCTTCCTCTGTTCGGCTGATTGGCCTTTCCTGTCCCCAGCTCGGCTGCATCTGCATGCACCTGCACCATCCGGCCCGAGCCCCGAGTCGGTGGAGTATCCATGAGCATGTGTAACCGAACTTCGCTGCCAGGCATTCCTGAAAACCCCGTTGGCATCCAGCAGCCAACACTATGAGCGCAGCATCTTTGGCCGCCGCCGGCTGCCCCGGCTCCCGATCCATTTAAAAAGCTTGATCGGGGACGTGCCCACAAACCTGGGTTGGTCTTTGGCCATTCCAAAAAAATAGGCTGCTTTCCTGATGCGCAGGCAACGGTCATTCTGCAAAAGCCAAGCAAAACATCAAGGCCGCTCCAAATGAGCCTCAACTTATTTATGCACCACTCTTGAAATAGCTCCAACTCTTAAAACATCATTACCAAACCGCGACCCAGAAACACCAGGCTTCTCCAAATCCGCTTCGTCGCTCGCTTCAGAATCAGCAGCAGGGCTGTGCCGCACACGCGCAGAGCGAACACGGCGATGGCCAGCACCAGGCCGGGCACGGCACGGTAGTGGAGCCGCTTCCTTGGTTGGTACGGTGGATGCCCTATGCAAGTAGGGAACAAGGGAAACCCTGCAAAGTGCCATGGTTTGTGTCTGGTCTGGCAATATTTAGGGCATCCACCGTAGCGAAGGTGGGTTGCTCCAAGCTAAGAACAAAAGCTCGATCACCAAATTGCTTTCATCTGAAATCCATTTCTTTCCAGGTTTGGGGGGCGATAAGTCACATCAAAGACTAGCCATGGAGACTTGCAAAAGTTGCCCTCCAAAAACATGCAAGCGCAAACACCCCGACTGCAAGACTTTCCTTTTGGAAAGAGCTTCTGTGTGCTTCTCTGTTGGTCGGAGGGTATTTTTTCCCGTCAGGGAATTGCTAGTTGGGGGCCGCATTTTGCAAAATGTCAAACAGTGCTTCCCTTTCTTTTCCAAAAAACATTGACTAGGGGGGAATGTCATTTGCCAAACACTTTGAAAGGTTGCTCCTGAACATTTCCCAATTTCATGTGGCATGTCCAAATTACGCATCCCAAGTCAAGCTTTCGGTTGCGAACAGGACCTTGAATGGTAGATGAGTTTGGGGCAGGAAAATGAAACCTCGGGCAAAGCAGAGCAATCCACCAGCCAAAAGTAAAGGGCCCCTATGAAACAAGCCTTCATAGGGGACGACTCTCCTCGTGACCTGGCTATCATTTCGCCCAGAAACATGGCTGTGTGTCAAAACCAATGGTACCATTTTGGGGTAGGTGCACCGCCCATTTTAGTCTATTTTAGTGGGGATTGGGATGTTCACAGGGGGTACGGGATTTTGACCCATGGCCACATGTTTTTCTTCCAAGCTTCCACTGGCTTCGTAAAATCAAGCGCAGCGCCCGGCGCTCGCGCTGGGCGCGCTGCTTCTGAAGCTTCTCGTACCTAAGCGCCCGGAGAAAGGTTCACTTTTTTGGAAGCCTTGGCGAAACGCATTCCAGGAGCAAGCTGGTCCATCCCCCTGGGCTCACAAATCTGAAACCGGGCAATCAAGAAACCTCATCCCTGAATGGTCGGAACGTTGAGTGTGGTTGCCAACATGGGAAGTGTGGACTTAAACATCTAAGCCGTTGCAACAAATCCGAGGGGGAAGAAAACCAAACATCTCAGCAAATCGGACGCCTAAAGATTGGCCAAACTGGGAAAACCGTTTAAAAGGGTCGTTTCAGTCGAGGTACTCCAAAGACCCCGCCGGGGGGTCGCCGGTCATGTGCCGGGCGGAGCGCGCTAGGTGCCGAAAATCCAGCTGCTGAGCAAGCCAGGAGGCCGCCTGCGATCGCGACCCCAAGTGGGTGGAAGGGCTCAAGGGTCAAATTTTAAGTCAAGCTTATGGGATTCACAGAAAGAAAGAAAGAAAGAAAGAAAGAAAGAAAGAAAGAAAGAAAGACAGCGGGGACTGTCAATGAAATGGAAGTCCAAGGATCACACCACCCCCTCTGCGACCGAATCGGTGGAAAGCGCTCGCCTGCTTGCGCAGAGACCGAGCGTCCTTGGAGGCCAAGTAGCTAAACAGCGCATGCAGATTGATATCATAGGCCTTAGCCCAGTGGATGTTCACAGCAGAAGAAAAAGGGGCACCTGTTTTATGCTGATTAGCTTTAACAACCTTTTTTTGGGTGCTTGACTTTCAATGGAATCACTCCCTCCCTCCATAAAAAATGGACAAGAGGGTGGGGAAGCCACCAGCAACCGGGAGGCCATGCGCCGTAGGCACTGTCCCTCAGTGGAGCCCAGTAAGCCTTCCAAAGGCTTGAACCCACTTTCGGACACCTCAGCTTCATCAGAGGAGTCTAGGATGGCCATGCTGGTATCCTCGGATGTCTCCTCCGGGTTGCAACATCTATTTTGTTCAAACAACCACTGCTCTTCTTTCGAAAGAAAGCCAAACGCATCATATGGTTTAGACAATGTTTCGTGGTTCGGGCGTGAATAAACTAGGGTTGAATCGCCCGACGCCTCTGGCTGTTGCTCTGAGGCCTTCAGTAGATCCTTCAGCTCTGACCACTTCAGCTCTCCCTTGTCAGTCAGCACGTTGTTCCGCAGCGTTTTCCTTGCCTCAGCTGTGGACGGCGAAACCAGCCTTCTCAGCGTGATGGGCAGGGCTGTGGTGTAAATGTTGAAATCCGGGTCGTACTCGGCTGCTATGCCTTCCAACGTCACAAAGGTCCGCGTCATGAGGACCACGTACTCAGGCGTCAGCATCAAGTACCTCGTGGAGAGCCGCTTCAGAGCTGCCGCCATGTCCCCGAACCGGGTCTGCGCATTCTTGTCTGAGCCCACCTCTTCACCCAAAGCCTGCACAAACTCGTCGAAGGTGCTCTCCACCCAGTATGGCCGGGTGCTGTTGGGCCGCAGGTTCTTCTTCACCGGGTTGGGCACAAACTCCACCACCTGCATGGAACAGGCCAGCGCCGTCCAATTCCTCGAGACCACGCTGCGGATGCCCTCCGCAAAGCCCTCCATGACCTTGGGCGACACACGGTCCATGAGTCCAAAGTCCAGGAAGCAAATGCGCCCGTCGTGCATGTACTTGAGGTTGCCTGGCAGGGGATTTATTATCGGTCACCTCACAATTGAGACACATCAATTCAGCCAATCAGATTGGCCATAGTATCTTGCGGGCGAAATGGCAGCTACTGCTTGGCACCAGCTATCAGACTACATGCACTGGCAGCCTCAGGCCATTTAAAAATCATGATTGGGTTCTTAATCTCCCAAGGGGCGAAATTGAAGCCATGAAGCCACAGCAACACTGTCCAACAACGAACCTTACATATGAAGAGCGCTATAATTCCCAAAGAAGATTCCCCACGAGCAGTTTGTCGAATGAACTTTCACTCAATTTGCGGAACTGAGCCTCACCGCTAAAAACAAAAGGCGATGTCCGGAAGCCGGTGCCATGTTTCGCATGGGACAAATGCCAAACATCCCCGGAACCCACAAAGCTCCCTATGTGTCCCCAAAAGCTCACCCTGCAAACAGGCTCTGGCTCGCTTCCGTGGAATGTGCAGAAACTCTCCGGACTCAAAACTGAAATGCGGAAGTTTCATTCGGAGCCTCTGTGCCAACTTCAACAGAATACCCTTCCCCCTGTCTGCCTTTCTGGGGCTGTGATGTTTGAGGCCACCCCAGTGCCGGTTTTGTTTCAACCCCTCAGGGTTGTCCAAGGGGACATTGACCAGGGAACCGAGGAAGGAAGCTATTGTGCTCAGAGAATTCAACTAGCTTCTATCATCATTTGGCAAAGAGCAAACATGTAAAGCCGGTTCTACTTCTAAAACCACAACCCCACACAGGGATCTGGGTTCCGCTTTTGGGGAAATAAGCCAATGCTTGCGGAAACCTTGGTACATAGGGAGAAGCGAGTCGCCTGTCTATTGTGAGCTCCCAAGAAAACAAAGCCAAGTCCTTCGTGGAGCAATTACTTACCATATGGAAAACCAGGTGTTTCCTAAAACTTGCGGGTGCTCAGTATGGAATACCCAGAGTGTTGGGAATGAAATTAGGGATTCCCATAACGGAAGCCACAGATAGGAGCCATTCCTCATTCCCTGAGAACCAGCAAGAACACCTTCAATTTGCTGAAGTCCACCGGGGAAAAGACACATATGCCCAGTAGTGATAGAATCCATTTAAAACCAACAGGGGAAAATAGGAAAACTATCCAGCAAATGGAAGCCACCGGCTCAATCCAAACAACGGCCTTCGTGGGGGTCGGCGTGCACGAAGCCGGTGATGAGGAGCTGCACGAGACAGGCCTCAGCTGCCAAGCGCACCGCGCGGTGTCGCAGGCGCTCCGGCAAGTCCTGGAGTGAGCGGGCAAAGAGAGGAAGCGCCAGACATCTGCAGGGAAGGGAAGGAACACTGCAAGCGGCAATTACTTATGGACCAAAATTGGAAACAATCTGCAGGTTCTCAAGAGGGAAGGAGGGAACCCCTATGGTTCAACCATCCGGTTTATCCCAAAACCATTGATCTCAACCTGAGCACCAGCCGAAGTAAAGTTCTCACCCTCACGCCTCCCTCCCCCAAACCCACCCACCCACCCACACAGCTTGCCCCCAGCCACCAAAAACAGCCAGCGGCAAATGCGGCTCCCGCTCCGGCCTTGAAATCCATGCCGTCCGCCCACTCGGTGCTCAGCACGCGGCAGGTCCCTTTGGGCCCCGTGTACTTCCGCACCCAGGCCGGGGCGGTGACAAAGCCCAGCCACATGTGCTCCCTCACAAAGTCCTCGCCAACACTTGGGCTGACGGCTGACGCGCAGAACCCGGAACCGAAGCCAACCCAAAACTGAAACATCGCCAACAAAGCATACAAACCAACACAACAGAGAGAGAGAGAGAGAGCGAAAAAGAGACATCGACAAAAGCAACCTAAAGTCAGGGAACATTGTGGGCCGCAGAAACAAACAAATCAAAAGAAACAAGAGGCATTCAATCGCTGGAAAGGGTTCAAGGTCAAGGTCCAGAGTGCACGGAAAGCAAGCAACAACGGTAGTTTAACCTTGGTGAGTTGCATGACTGGGTGAGTCGACCAAGTTGTAAGTCGCAAACGACAGATTGGTGCTTTCAAGTCAAATATATCGCTCAGTGCCCTGAGTTCTTGTGGCTTACACTCCCAGGGTTAAACGGCTCGAGGCTTTTGCCGGGTCGTCGCGGGCAACGTTCCAGAGGATGCAAGGCACCGGAAGGTAAGCATTTGCTGACAATCACAGAAACTCCCATATGTATGGAAACCACGTACCTATCATTTGGGAACTTGGACGGACTCTCTGGACAGAAATGCCATCGCTTTATACTTCTCTCTGGCACTACAGGTCATGGCTTGGGTTGGCTGCTCGCGCAGCCTCCAATCGGGCATCTTGTACAATCTCTCGTGCCGGTAGTAGCAGTGAAGAGATAGGCCCTGTCTTCGGCAAAGACTTTTCCAGGATCGCAATGCCGTCTGCGGCCACAGACTTGATCCAAACTCCCGGCACCCCTTTGCCGGGATCGTTGGTCCCGTCGGGCATAAGGGATCCCGGCTTGTCTGGCAACGAGAGCACCTGGTAATCGCCATCCGAAAGCACGAGAGCAGCAAAGTGATCGATGGCAAGCCCTGTCTCACCGGGGTGGCGCCTCAGCATCTCGGCAAAGTCTGTAGATCGCAGCACGCCGTTACTCTGGACTCGGTCATGATGTGGACAACAGAGTCCAGGAAGGAAGCTTAGGCCCGGAACGCGGATGTACTCCCACACACGCTTTTCACCCGCAGCTGACGCCTCTCCAGGGGCCTTCTCTGCCGCTGCACCTCTGCCATCCAGCATGATTGCGCGATACCAGTCGGGGTCCATGCTGTCGGAGTGTAAGGCATCGAACCAGCACCCGGCACCCGCCGAGCCGCCACAAAGGATTGCGCCACGAGCCATGGCAAGGCGGAGAGGCTCCACCATGGCAGCCATGCGCCAGCGATCCACTGCAAACAACGTATTCCCACCTGAAACAAGGATGATGTCTGCACGCCCGATTGACTCGGCTACAACTGATGCAGTCGGAGTTTTACACGCCACATCCAAAGTGCTGATGTTTACACCACACTCTGCGAAGGTTCCGGTCTGCTTTTGCCTGAAGGAGGCTATGTCGTAGGTGGCTGTGCCCAGGTAGAGCAAGTTCACCTCTGCTTTGGGCATGGGGCTCGAGGAGGGCCCTGACTGGCTGATAGTGTTTTCTTCACATGCTAAATATCAGTTCCCCCTAGTCACAAAGGTTTGCTAACAATATAAGCTATTTGTCACAGCTTCTCCCAAGGGTATTCTTGAATCAGGCGCATTTTCCATCGGGGGAACCGGATCAGCTCTCTGTGAAAGCAGAATTTTCCCTCACCGGACCTCTGCAGGCGGCTTCTTTGTCAGCTGCAGCACAGCAGTGACAACGGCCTTCTCGCCCATCATGGCGGCGCCAGCTCCAGCCAGGACAGCACGAATGCCATGAGCGCTCATGGCCGACATCCTACTAACTTCCTTACCAAGAGTACGCATACTCTGAACTTACAACCCTCAGAAGAATCATACACTTGTAGGTAGGGGCGTTGGTCGCGTGCACGGGTTTCATGCGAGCCATGCAGCTGCAAATCATGCAAAGCCCAGGTTCAGGGTGCACGAACCTCCATGAGCACACGCATCTGACAAGACAATAAATCCCCATTTGCTTCCGGGCGACCCTGCAACAGACCCTTCAGTTTCACGTCCCAACGCTTCGGGTTCCATCACTTTGCAATTAAAAGCCATCATCACTTGAATAATAATCCACAGACGATATGTGCCATGTGAGACAGGAACACAAGTCTACAAATTCAATTTGTTCGTAAATATTACATGTATGGAGTGCCTGTTAAATGACGGTAGGTCTTCCATCACAGTCGCAGCAGCGACCACTGGCAACGAGGCGCACGTTCGCGATCGCTCCGACTGCATCAAACATTCGAACCGAGCAAGCTGGCTGTCCTGCCAGAAACTATGTTTTAATCATACTGGCTCTGACCGAAAGTGGATCTGACATCTACTTGCCAACCGAGGCCACTCTTCTCTCTGCTGTGCCACGCAAATAAACTATCTGCCACTTCAGCCGAACAAGAAACCTTGCCCAGGTTTCCGAAACAAACTTCCAAACTTCTGGCACTTGAACTTGGGCTGAAACAAAAACACAAGCCCACCTAGTATCCCCAACAACCCTAGAACCCTGAACTTTCTGGCATTTGCCGTCCTCCATGTTCCGCCCCTCGTTGTGATAGTCCAGCTCCAAAAACACGCCTCCGGCCACCCCATCCGCCAGCTTGGCGAAGTCGTTGAAGGAGCCGAAGATCAGGCGCTGGAGCTTCAAGGCGATGAACCAACCTCACCGGACCCCTTTGGGCCATGCAGGTGCCTCGGGTCTTGAGGACTTCGGCTTTTTCTTTGCCAGCCCTTTAAGACATAGACCCCAACATGGCTAGCCTCAACCAAAGACACACCCAGAAATCATTGGCCCTCCAGGGCCAAGTCACCTCACGGATGACCGCGGATAACCCTGGATTTCTTGAGAGCCCTTAGCCTCATTGTCTAGTATTCACCGTTCGGCCTCTTTACACTAAGCATTAAGCATCAACCAGCTCAACTTGCGCTGATGAGCACCTCGGACATGGGCATCTAAATGGTTTTAGCTGTCCGGAGTTCCACGTTGAGAAGTAGCTGAAATTTGGCATGTCGTTTTCTGTAGCTGCGTGTTCCTCCTTGCTTTTGTGTCAGGCCCTCTAAATCCATCGGTGGAAAATCAGAAGGGGGGGAACCTCAACTGAAGAGGCAGGGCTGGGTCAACACCTTGTGGTCCAAAGCTGTTTCGGGCCGAACCAATACACGCCCGTGTCCATCGCTTGGGCCAAGAAAAGGATTCAGGGAATAAAATTGGTGAATTGAAAAAAACACGGGGGATCAGCATGGACCAATCGGAAATTGCCCCAGCTCGAGCTTTCCAGCAGGTCATGGCCTGTATGTCCTCTTAAACAAATATGGTTGGTTTGGTGAATAGCAAAGTGAAGCTGACCGACAAGGACACCTGTGACAAACACCTGCACCAGCTGGCATGGATGGACACCCTATCACTGGGATAGACCACCAACTGATGCCTGGCGTGGATTTTTGTCCATCCACACGCGTACAGCCGGCCAAGCCACAAACCCAGTCGCAAGCTACTAGTCTGGCCACTCCAGGACGCATGACCTTCACCGCGATGTCCCAACCCTCCTCTGAGAACGTCAAAGGAAAATGACCGAATGGATTTAAATGGTCGGAATCAAACCAAAACCAGTAGAATCCAGCTACTTTCAACCCGAAACAACTCTCATCAAAGGACACCAATGCCCATTTTGGTTAATCAGCATATATTTCTATGGGAGTGTATTTGTTTGAGGGTTCTTTTCTCTTGCTGTGGTTGAAGGCGGACAGTAAAAGAAAACGTGCTACTGCAGTCTGTGTCTCAAAACTGTGGCAAATCAGCTGCAAATCAATCGGAAACAGATGAGTATGAAAACTTGGGGCCTTTTGCTTGACACCTGTTCCACGGAGATTGTAGGCAAGGCCCAAACAAAATGGACTAAGGATGCGGGCTACTGAAAAAGCCGAAATCCCTCTCTAATCAAGCAATACTGTATAATACTGTTTGGAATTTCCTAGCCCCTTATGTCAATTTAGTCTACTTTTCAAAAAGGTTGCTGGCCAGTCCAGCCACAAAGCATACGCATACCAAATCCCAGCCCCTCCCGCCCTTGCCGTGTTCGCCACAGTGCCAGGGCACTGATCTCAAAATGGCCAATCCAAAAGTGGGTATGTCAAGCCCGCCCAAGGCAAAATCTAAGGGCCCCGCACCTCCCCCTCTTCCCCCCAAAAAAACAACATAGAGGGGTGGGTATTTGTTTTGGCAACCCCTTTTTGGTTTGAAAAGGGCGCCAAGAGGAAACCAACGCTTTCGGGACCCAAATCTGACTGTGTCGTTTTTGGGAGTCCTTTTTCGGCCCTTTCAACATCACCCCGAAAGGAAACTCATGTGACGAGCCAAACAAGATGCTTTGGAAACCTATGGGCATCGACGAATAGGCCGGTCCTTGGTGGTCGCTTTGTACACTTGGCCCAAGCTCGCTGAGGCGATGGTCTTCCTGTGTCGTCCAAATGCTTGCGTGTGCTTTTGACTTTTGTTGAACGGTAGCCTGTTCAAGTTGGTTTTTTTGGGGCATGGCCAGAGCGCTATGTGCAGCGATCCGGACACAAACGCTTCGGTTTCCCTTTGAAGCAACCCCTGAAAAGGGAACCGAGCCTCCAAAAAGCAAAAACACACACAAAGGCCTTAGTAGAACCCCCGGCGCGTTGGGAGCTTTGGCAGAAAGACGAGTGGATTATGCGTCCAAAACGGGATGGTGCGCCAGATCCCGAATTGATTAGGTGATTTTGCATAAGGGTAGTTTGAAGGTAGAGGTTTCATCTGTCGATCTCTCGTGCGCCGCTTGGGTATCTGCCGTGCCTCATGTGTGATGTGTTTGGGCTGAAAATGAAACCGAAGGCAACCCGAACCCTTGTTTCTTAGGGAAACTGCCATCTGAGGGTCACCAGTGAAAGTTCACATCCAAATAGCCTGCCATAAAATTTAAAGGTGGCCATCGGAGTTTGAACGTTTTTAATTTGGTTGTGTTTTTACTTGGATGGTTTTCAGTTGAATGGGTTCAACGGAAAACTGTCGGAAGGTTCAACCTATATCCTCAGGCGTGGTTTTGAACCAATCCAAGTAGCTGGGGGTTGTATTGGTAAACGAGGAGGGAACCGAACTGAAAGGAGTGGAATGCGTCAAACTGACGCCAAAGGACAACACTGCAAAGGTGTCCTTTTAGGCGTTCAGTGTTTTGCAGGGCAAACATCATGTGTTTGGTCAGGGGTCAACTTCATACTATAGAAGAGTCGGTATTTGGCAAATGAGAGTTCTTAAGCTGTTAGTTCGGTTCAGAACGATAGGGCCATCAAAGTGACAACATACAAGCAGTTGTTTTAAGGGGACTGACTCGCCCCAAAAAGTAGCATAGTCACCTGGAAAGACTCAGAAATACTGTGGATGGACAAAACTCTGCATCAATCTGGATGAAACCGTACGAATGGGATAAATCACCAATCGCAAGCGGTGCCTGAAGAGGTTGCTGTCCATGGAAATTGCACTGAAGCAAGAGGATCCCCAAACAACTTCATGGGGCCTCGGGTTTTACGTGCGCTTTGGAGTTTGAGGTTCCCTTTGTGACGTTGGTTAGGGAACCCACCATAACCCACCCCTCCCCACCCCTCCCCACCCCTCCCCACCCCTCCCCACCCCTCCCCCGCCCCCCCCGATTTCCGCATGAGACAAACCCATGTCGCTCGGTCGCTCCCTCCCCATCCTGGAGAACTTCTTGAAGAGCGGAGGGGCGTCCTCCGGGAAGCCCAAAGGCACCAAGCCCGGCGCCAGGGGCCCCGAGTGGTTCAGGTCCTCCAGGACGATTCGATGCCTGCGACTAGAAATACCCGCAAGAAACGTCAGATTGACACCAACAAGGTGTTTGCGTATATAATCCACTGGTCGAAAAACATCCGGTTGGCTTGTCTTAGGGTTAAACTTTGGTTGTTTCAACATATGGGAACCCCTCCTTTTGGTAACCATCCGAAATCAAGGTGTCTCAAAATGGACGGCACTCATACTATTTTGCTCCTTCTGCCGATCTTGGGCCAAGGGGCGCGATCTCATCCGGGAAGGGCGCGGTCTTGGACTGCAGGGACTTCAGCACCTCCGAAGGTTGGTCCCAGAAAACGTGGACAAACAGCAGACCCTTCTCGGTGGTTTGTCCTATTAAAAGGGTTGTATCCATCCAAGCTCAGGATTTGTGTTATTGAAAGTAGCCCCCTTGAAAGGAGAACCCAAAATAGGTTTGCTCGATCAATTGGTGGTAAAGCAGCTTGGCTTGCTTTTGGCTTCCCTGGGTAGCCTTAAAACGTGTTGAAACTATTGGTGGTTTAAGCCATGGCTCAGAAGAGCTGAGGGGTTGTCAAACAAATCCGTTGAAAGGAGCGCCCCAAGGAGCCTCGTGCTCAAAACGCATGTGAAGACCAGGCAGGTTCAGCCAAAGTTGTTGGAACCAACGAAAAATCAAAAGGACATCAAGAAAGGTTGTGTAAAACATTGGTTTAAACCATGGTTTGCCTCAAACCCATGGTTGACAAGGCCTTCATGGTTTCACACCTTGGGCTCCAATGGGATTTCAGCCAAAAGTACCATTGGAACTTCCAAAAGCATAGTGCCATGGCTCCCACGGGTCCGGGTCTTTCTCTAAAACAAACGCGCCATGCCGTGGTTTCCCTTTGGTCCAAAGTTCACCGCTCCGCGAGTCCCTGGCAACGCCGGCGACGCGCCGGCGACGGGCCGCCTCCGCAGCCTCGTCCCCCACGATGTCCGGGCGCTGCGCCAAGGTCTGGCCGACCTTCACGAAGACCGGGCCACACCGCGCCAGGGAGCCCTTCAGCACCTCACCGCCTGGAGCATTTTTTAGACGAGAAACTCGTGAGCCGGAGGTTCTTTCCACGTTTTGGGGCGTCCTTCCTGGATGTTATTTTCGCTTTTGGGGGCTTGCTTTGAACCAAAATGGTGCTGTGTAGGGTTGCATGGTGGCAACTATAGCAACCTTTCAATCTTCAGAGGATATGGCATAAACAAGAGCAAACCTTTCGGGTGTATTTGCACAAGAGGGTTTGAAGACATGTGCAGCATCCCGGCGGCCAACTTGGGCAAGGGTCCCATAGTTCTCTCCCCCCCGCTCTCTCTCTCTCTCTCTCTCTCTCTCTCTCTTTCTCTCTGGTTCAGTACGGCAGAATGCTGTCCCACACTGCTCCCGCCGCAACTCTAAGAGTATGAGTTGGTACGTACGTCCATACTGTCTGTCTGGTTCCAAGGTCCCGCTTACGCACCCCAACTAGAAGTGACCCAGTGGCCATACATTGGCTATGCGGGGGTGTTCAGGGCCATCCACGGCTTGCATCTGGCTTAACCATGGCCCCGCTGTAGAATGAAATAACAGATTGGAAGAGGGTACAGTACGGACAGCAGCAAACCTGTTTGGTACTTTCCAAAGGGATGTGCAAAAAGGATATATATATATATATATATGTATGTGTATATATGCACATATATTTTATAAACACACACACCCTAGATAAGCAACTGCCAAAGGGAAGCCCCGCTAAAAAACAAACAAACAAAAGCTCGTGTCTCAGGGAAACAAGGAACACGCCGCCCCACAACAGGGGAACCAGCCGCGGTTGCTTAAGGGAAACAGCTCGATGGATGGAACTGGTTAGGGAGCAAAGTGACAAATAAATCTGACATTTGCGTCAATCTGTCAAAAGGGACAACATGTGGGGTTGCGGGTGGGGGGGGGGGGGTTTGGACCGGCACAGCCGACGCTAGATGCGCTAGATGAGGGCTGATTGCACGGGTGAAAGCACTGTGAAATGAATGCTCTCAGGCTGACACACCACTCATAACTGGTTCGTTTCCGTGTCGAATCTCAGATTCGAGGATTCCTCGAAGTCCCCAAACTAAGAAGCAACCATACCCTGGTTCCTTCAATGGGAAAGGGAGAAAATTGTTGATTGAACAAGGGCGATTCAAACATGTCTCAAGAGGTGGGCTACCATGGCAGCAGAGCGCTGGCACGGGGCCTGGGCATCTCAAAGGTGTGGAATTGCCCCACCCTTGATGCTCATGGAACCGCTGGAATATTCGGATTTGAGGTATGTGTCACAACAGCCTCAAAATAAGATATTGGACTGGACTCCTTTGGGCTTCCCTTGAACCTCACCTTGAGGTACCATCAGACAACACACACACACGTCTCCGATCCCGAGCCGGGCCGCGGTTCTGCTCCGTGTGTGGGTCCGTCCATACCTGCCAGGCCGGCACTAGCACCTGGCCGATCTCAAGAAACCTGCGGAGGATCAGATGGGGCCGCCAGCTGAAAAATCGGAACATCTTCTCCTTCCAGGCAAAGGGTAGCAACCCAAAAACCACATGCGCAAAAGCAGATGGCAGAATCACCACGTGGTTTAGACATCCCCTTTACCCACATGGAGCGAATTGTGCCATCCACTTGCGCCCAAGTGTCACCGAACGACTGTTTTTTCCCAGTCCAAAAAGCGGTTCTTGCGGGGGGTTATGGCTTTGGCTTTAGTAACAACTTCCCCCAGAAGTGGTTTTGATCGCCAAAACTCGTTCCGTTGAAGCCCGTCCTTGGAGAAGCCTCCGCGCAAGAGTTCATCGTACTCCTTATCCCGCTCCTGCTGCAAAAGCCAGGCTTCAACGATTGGACTGGCTGAAAGGCGAAGGCCTTTCGCGCATCTGCCAGGAATCCAGCGACCTCCTCGCAGTGCGTGGGCATTGGAGTAGGGCACAGAAAATGCAGAACCTCGCAGTCTGCCTGGTAAGACTAGGCCGGCTGTGAACAGCACAAGCAGAAACTGGATAAGGCGACGTGGTGAAACCATCACCGGATCCTAAAGCACATAATTCGCGAGGGGCTTCTCCCATACGCCTCTCCCATGCAAAGACCTGAGCTGTATGGCGTCGGCCGTAGAAACGCATCAGCAGCCGAAACGCAACCCGCGGATTGCCGAGTGTTTTTCTAAGGGATGCTTCCCAACCCTTGGCATCGTAGCAAGACACTTTGCTTGTTGCAGGACCGAGTTAAAACGAGCGCAACACACACACACAAGCAGAAACACACACTGTCCAAGAAGACAACGGATGCACAAACTCTAAGATTTCTTGATGCCATCAGCTTGCTGGGCCAAGTGCGCAGTGTCCAAAACCCTTGACGTTTGGTTCTACGAACATGGTTACAGAGCTTTATACTACCTGCTACAGGCCTTACTATGAACTCCATAAAACCAGCTAGGAACCGAACCAAGAATCGGTTCGGTTTTTCCGCTAACTCGCGCCATCTCTTTGTCGAACACCTGTGGCACGTGCCCACAAAGGTCATTGGAAAGCGGGAAACCCGGGATGTTCCAGTGTTTCCATAAAAGAAACAAACAAGAAGCAATCACAAGCAAACACGTAAGCAATCACTTGAATCGAAGGGGCCTCTAGTGTGACACACGCCACGAACGTGCTGCCGCATCACTTGAATGGGAGGCTTGGCATATGACATGTCAATGGTCTCAGCTGCCTGACCTCGTTCAGGACCTGATGTGCTTCTGAGTGGATGGCAAATTGGACAAATAGAGAGACATATCCATCCCCTCTTGGTTTCCTCTTGGGAAAATGAAACAATATGGGTCGTTGAGCACCCAAAGTCCATCCCAACTTACGCTGCCGGCGCCCGAAAGCTGGCTTTCTCCCCCGCCGAGCTGTTCAGACAGCACCCCCTGCCTACGACAGAAAATGCAAAGTGCTTCAAGGGCAATGCGCTCTTATTCGGTTCCTCATGTTTGTCCTTCTGTCAGAGGTCTTGGCCCAGGTGGGATGGCCCAGGTGATTTGCAAAGGGTACATGGAACTTTCGGCTCGCACATGAATCACTTTGCAAGGTGTAGACCCCCTTTGCATGTGCAGCTCGGAGCACCCAGCTTGAATCGTGAGTGCCAGTGATGTGAAACCAGTGCAGCAACATGATGGACATGGATGCACTCTATCGGGGAAATGTTAGGTCACAATGGTACCGTGCGTAAGGAGTTTAGCCAGTCTGTGGCCAATATCACAAAGTATCGGATCTTTGGAATCTGTCTCCCGCAATCGCGCTTTTCTCAGTCCTGGACTCCAATAGATAACACTCGTGTCCACTAAAGTGGCATCCTCAAAATTAATCTCTCAATGGTTGCTCCATGGAAAAAGAACGCGCTCAAGGCTTTTGTTCTGAACCTGCGACCACTTCAAGGGACCCAGTACCAAGATCTCAAGTGGCTTCACATCACTGACTCGTCGCATAGCATCCCCCAAGCAATCTACCTGCAGCTTGAGCTGCAGCCCGAGGCAGCCCCCAGCCTCAATCCCCAAGTGAAACAGTGCGCTCGGAGTCGCATTCGCATTTTAAGAGGCGCCAGGTTGGTATTCGGCCTGCAACAAATCAAACTGGTTGCATAGTGAGAAAACAACATGATTGAAGGTCCAACCAAAGACCTGCTGGCCCATTGCCAGCCTCAGAGCTCATCTTTGCGGATCATCCAGCACCAAGTGCCTTCCGCCCTGCTTGGATAGCTTTCAGCAATGCTTGTACCTCGCAAACTCGATCAGCAAAAAGCGAAGGAGCCACCAATGCCAAAAGTGCACCATCCGGCCGGCCTAATTAGCCCGCGCAACCAGTTCGCAGGAGGAACCAACTACTTCACAGTGATGTGTGCAATGAGATGGCAGCGCCTCCAAGTGATTTGAACGGATTCGCGGACAACAGCACATATCACCAATGCAAGGGCAACAAAAAGCATTCGCCGAGACGGGGACAAGAACCTTCATCCACCCCCCGTCCCCCTGGCCCAGGTAGCAGCCGACACGCAAAGGACTTGTTCAAAGGAGCAAAGCGGGCTCTAGCCACCATTAACTCTATGAATAGGATTGAGTCATATTGTGAGGGCGCCCGGACGGGTAGAAGTCGTGTACGATCGTCCGCTTTGTGCAGAATGGGCTTGATGGCTCGATGATCATTGACAAACATGAACGTGTCTCTCTGGAGGGTACCCTCAATTGGTGTAGATTTAAGGTAAGATTAACAGGGAACGCCAAAGAGAAGCCATCGCTTTCAGCAGGTGACTCACCTACATCGACGGTGGCTTTACGCTTTGTCGGCAAAGCCGGAAGGCCCCTTTCGGTCCTCGGGCTGGGCGCGCCTTCGCCCGGTCGTCCTCGACCTCGCGAGCCTTCACCCGGTCCACCGGTGAGGGCGTGTCGCACCGGGGCTTCTTCTTGGTTTCGACAGTGGGGAAGATCACCGGGCTGACCTGGATGATGGCTAGAAACAAATAGTATTGGTTGGATTTGAGCTGTATTAACCATCCAGGATATTCATTATGTGAAGGTCGCGACTGTTGATTCCGCCAATCACAAAGAATCAAAGCACACTCAAAAAGAGGCCGGAAAAAACGGGCTTGGGTCCTTTAGTTGAGTGACAACCCCTCTTTGTATGACAACGCTGTCTCCAACAGTTGGCGGAACCCCTTTTGAAGGCGTTGAACAGGATATATTGAAGGCGTTGACAACCATTGTTGGACAAGTTTGATGTTGCGAACATTCCTTGTGCCAGACACAGACAGAGACACAGACACAGACACAGACACAGACGCAGACGCAGACACAGACACAGACACAGACGCAGACGCAGACACAGACGCAGACGGAGATGCAGACGCACACACGGACACAGACACAGACACAGACACAGACAAAGACACAGACACAGACACGGACACGGACGCCGTCGCAGACGCAGACCCAGACACAGACACAGACACAGACGCAGACGGAGACACAGACACAGACACAGACGCAGACACAGACGCAGACCGCAGACACACACACGCAGACACAGACACAGACGCACGCACACAGACGCAGATGCAGACGCAGACGCAGACGCACACACAGAGACACAGACACAGACACAGACACAGACACAAACACAGACACAGACACAGACGCAGACGCAGACGCAGACGCAGACACAGAAGCAGAGGCACACACAGACGCAGACGCAGACGGAGACGCAGACGCAGACGCAGACGCACACACAGACGCAGACACAGACACAGACACAGACACAGACACAGACACAGACGCAGACGCAGACGCAGACGCAGACGCAGGCACAGACGCAGATGCAGACGCAGACGCACAGACACAGACACGGACACAGACACAGACGCAGACGCAGACGCAGACACAGACGCAGACGCAGAAGGAGACGCAGACGCACACACACAGACACAGACACAGACACAGACACAGAAACAGACGCAGACGCAGGCGCAGACGCAGACGCAGACGCAGACACAGACGCAGACACAGACGCAGACGCAGACGGAGACGGAGACGCAGACGCACACATACAGAACACAGACACAGACACAGACACAAACACAGACACAGACGCAGACGCAGACGCAGACGCAGACGCAGACGGAGACGCAGACGCACACACACAGACACAGACAGAGACACAGACACAGACACAGACACAGACAGAGACACAGACACAGACACAGACACAGACACAGACAGACGCAGACGCAGACGCAGACGCAGACGCAGACGCAGACGCAGACGCAAACAGAGACGCACACGCACAGACACAGGCACAGGCACAGACACAGACACAGACACAGACAGTGACAGAGACGCAGACACAGACACAGACAGAGACACAGACAGAGACAGAGACACAGACACAGAAACAGACACTGACACAAACACTGACACTGACACTGACACACACACACACACTGAGACACACACTGAGACGCACAAGTACACTGCGGCATTGACCTTGCAAAAAGCCAATGACACCCGTGCAAACCTGCCCCAGCTCGCCTGGCGTTTCCTTGGCGTCTGCTGAGAGAGGGTGACATTCATGGACTCTGGTGCCCCGTCTAAGACATGAGAGGTGTCCTGCTTCTTTTGCTCCAAGCGCTTGTAGATGCGCTCGTCCGCCGAATCCCTCACGAGTTGGACATGGCATGCCCGCCCACCGATTTCTCATGCCTGGGGACATGGATATCCCCAAGTCAGCCAGCCTCATTAGGGTGAACTCCTTTACCCTTGGACCAGTGAGCCCATTTCAATTTGTGCAGAAAATATTTACATCCTCATCATCAGTTTTTGACTTCAACCCACAGACAGCTCCTGGCTCGAGCCTCCCCATCCAACATAATCACCCCCTTCAGAATTACTCGAGTACTGCAATTATTCAGGCTGACACCAGCAGCTTGAGACCAGCAATCAGTGCTCAGTTGCTGGAAGGATGTGCTAAATGTTCTTCCATTCCAAGCGTGCGGACATGAGAAACGCCCACGGTCACTGCTACTCGCGCCTTCCGTGGCCTCTTTTTTCACTCTCCTCCTTTGGTCCACCCTTGCTTTTCCAGTGGCCTCCTTCCGCTTGCCAATCGTTATTCCTTCCGCAATCTGTTTGATCATGTCACGTGGGCTTAGGATTACACAATTAGTGCACCTGAAGTAAAGATTCCCCAAGCAAGGAACCTTCAGACTTGCTTGTCGCGTCGCAATCGCCACTGCGAGGCCGCGACTTGCCCGTTGAAGCTCCCACTTTGCCCCACGGGGATAGTCGTGGCCCGAGGCTTTGCACACCAAGGGGCGGAACCACCAGGAACTCCACCACGACCTGACGAACAAGATGCACTGTTCAGAATTGGGATATTGAGGCCAGGGTCCCCGATAGTTCTTTCTGCCCAAGGAAACTTGGGCCCAAAAGCTGATATTTGAAACCACAAGGGGCCCTGCGGGCACCCATTTTTGGTGGTTTTGGCTTTTCACATCCTCTGCTTTCCCAGTTCCCCTGTGGGTTTTTTGGCGTTTGCGCCCTTTCGTTGTTTTTTGGCTTTGGCTTCCCGCATTCTCAGCACCAGTTCCTCCCTATTTGAATCATTACTTCTTCGAACATCATGGAGGGGGCTGCCGCACCCCCCAACCCCCCCGCCATGTTTTTAGAATTCTTGCAGAGATTTAATTGCAGAGATTTAATTGCAGAGATTTAATTGCTACCCACGATTTGTTGGTGATGCTACGAATGTTGGTCGGACATGCGGGGATGTTGAACACGATGCTGGGGATGTTGATGGGCCAGTGTAAAATACGTCAATTTCGCGAGAAAATGCTGTAAAATACGACATGTTACTGGCCCGGACGAAAAACAAAAAACGGAAAAAATAAACAAAGGAAACATATCCCGAAATAAATCGCACCCATTGGAAATGGGCGGTTTGAATTCGGAACGGCCAACATGGCTCGAAGTTGACTTGGAAGAAGAGAACCAGGACAGCTACTGGTTTCATACGTAGGTTGATAGTGCTGAATTAATTTTCCAAGGATCAGCCCTAACGAGGCACACCTTTTTGGGCAACATATTGTTTTGTCTATATAGTCAAAGCGTGTACCCGGGGATTCAGGTTCGATCCTTGTCCAAAGGCCCTGCCTTTCCGTTGCCACCGTAGGCTCAGAAAGTATCAACGTTGTCATGCGCAAGATAAGTTGAAGTTGGAATTCAGAGAACGGAACAGAGCTCTGCTCTCGGGTGTCCCTCGCCCAATACTGGAGTTGGGGGTCAGGGAATTTGTTAGTATCGTTCAGTATTGGAGTTGCAGTGGCTGGTAGCTTAGCCTGGGTTGGTTGGTCGGTGGGTCGGTTGGTTGTTGTGGGCTGGTTGCTTGGGTTGGTGGCTCGGCCGCTGCACGAGAGAAGGGCAACATCCCCAACATCATGATCCATCGCAGCCAGACGGGCATACTCCCCACACTGTGTTGTTACAAGCCGCTGAAGTTGCTCGGCTTTCGACTGTTTCTGGCTTTGTGAAGGTCGGATTTAGCTGGCTTTCTAGCTGGGGCTTGGAGCCAACCCCTAGACCTGCGCTGCAACGTCGCATGGGGCAGTTTGGATCCGGTAAGCCGAGCCCGTGAGCCGCTCCTAGAAGATGACCGCTCCCAGGCAACAAACACATTTGGACCGTTCAGTATTGGCCCCAAT